GGAGAGAAAAAAAGGCTTATAAACTCCTGGATTTAAAAAAAATGAAAATAAGTGGAATTATTATGAAAATTTGGCTTAATAAGAGATTGTTTTGACACATTGATTTTTAGCATTTTTTTATTATTTTTAAATTTTTTATTAGTTTATTTACAAAACTTGAATACTTTGCTTTTAAGAACAAATTCTTTCAATTTCCCTCACTCCTCCACCCATCAAGTTGTACACCCCGGTGATTAATCCCCCATTCCCTCTGCACATCCTCATCCCTCTGCTTCCAAACCACTCCCACCCCTCTTGGATCTTTATACTCATTCTTCAATAATGGTTTTATGCAATATTTATTCTTGTAGGACTGAGTTCGTTCATTCAGCAGAGTGTTCGCCAGCCCCTTCCAAGTTAGGTAATAATTTACAAAATCATTACTCCTGCCTGCATAGTATTCCACCGTGTGAATTTATCATGATTTCTCAATCCATTAGTGTTTTGCTAAAAATATAGAAGTTTATCTTACCTATTCTTCCTCATTCACTTTTTATTATCAAGGTTGACCCTTCCAATTTAATGTTAAAGTATAAAGAGTTTGCATTTTCTTTAGAAAGAATCATTTCGGAAGCTATTTGACCAATATCTCTTATTTCTGTCAGTTAAAAATATTCTATTACTCTAATTGCAGCTCTTAATATTATACACTACCATTATGATTAATAGAGAAATAATCTAAGTTGTAAAATATTTCCCTTGGATCCACAATTAATGTACATAGGTAATAGCAAACAAGAAATAAAAGAACATATTGCATTGGACAAATCTATGGCAAGTTATCTTGTGAGGTGATATTGATAATAAATGGAATGAAGATTATGGGGAATTGCATAGCCAACTGAAAGTCCGGTGGTTTACATCCATCAGGAGCTCCACAGGAGGAAAATGAGCATCACCTTTCAAGTGATCTACAGTCCCTGAAAATCAGTGGAGGGTCAGTTATGACTCAATATTGACTTAATGGCAATGAGTGAGTGAGTGAGTGAGTGAGGTTAAAACAAATTAGGGCTGTCAGCTAACATTAACTTGAGAGAATATGATCCATATTTACTTATAATGTAACTTATAATTTGTGCCTTATTCCATATTCATTCAAACAAAATTTAAACAATAATTTTGAAATGGTACAAAACCGAAAATACTTACCAGTATACTTTTCTGTCTAGTATTTAAGCTAATAAGTAATATCAACTTATTGTGAAATCCCCTTAAGCATGTATATTTACATCATTTATATTTATTTGTAGTTTTGACTTTTGAAATTTTTTAGTGTCTTGTAGTATTTTTGAGAATAGAAAGAAAAATCAATATTAAAATTGGAAGAAGCGTGTGTTTAAATTTTTAACCATTATTACAAATGGCTCTGAGAAGAATGGGAATCCCAGAACACTTGATTGTGCTAATGTGAAACCTATATTTGGACCAGGAAGCAGTCATCAGAACAGAGCAGGGAAACACTACATGGTTCAAAATTGGGAAAGGTGTATGCAAGGGATGTGTCCTATTTCCATACTTTTTCAATCTATATGCAGAACATATTATCCAGGAGGCTCTGTTCTATGAGAAGTATGGAATCAGGATTGGTGGAACTCATTAATAATCGGTGTTATGCAGATGACACAATCCTACTTGCTGAAAGTGAAGAGGATTTGAAGTGCTTCCTGCAGAAGGTCAAGGATTGCAGCCTTCAAATGGATTGAAGCTCGAGATCAAGAAGACAATGGGCAATTGGCATCATCAGGATGGATGGTGAAGAGATTGAGATTGTTGATAATTTTAGTTGGGTTGGTTCCATGGTCAACACTTTTGGCATCAGCAGCCAGGAAATTAAAAGACACATTGTGATGGGGAAGTCTGCTGTTAGGGACCTCTCTAAAGTACTAAAGAGCAATGGTGTCACTCTGGAGACTAAGGTGCACCTGATACAGGCCATGGTCTTTGCAATCACTTGCTATGCATCAGATAGCTGGATAATGACTAGGGAGGATAGAAGGAGAATTGATGCCTTTGAGCTGTGGTGCTGGAGAAGAGCATTGAATATACCATGGACTGACAAGAAAATGAACAGGATCATCTGAAGAGGGTTGAACCAGGCTGCTCCTTGGAGGCCAGGAATCTGAAGCTTTGTCTGACGTACTTTGTACATGTTGCAAGAAGGGACCAGTACTTGGAGAAGGTCATACTTGGGGGTGTGGAGGTACAGAGCAGGAGAAGAAGACCATCTATAAGGTGGATTGATTCAGTGACTGGAGTAATAGGGCTAAGTGTGTTGAAGACAGTGAGACTGGCACAGGACAGACTAGAGTTTAGGGCTGTTGTATATAGGGTTGCTATGTGTCGCAGGTGATTCGACGGCACATAACAACATTCTTGCTTCCAAGGAGAATCCTGTAAAACTCTCTCCAAGACAGATTTGTTTTGTTTTTAATTCATTTGGAAGTCCATGGGATATTTATAAACCTTCAGCATCACAATTGAAAGGCCTTATTTCATCTTATGTCATACTTAAATGTTGTCAAATTTTCATATGTGTAGCAAGTAGAAAAGGAAAAAAACCAACGCTGGCTTGTATTAGACACACCTCATATTTTTAACTAACATCATTGTCATTCTTCTTTAGAGGGCCCAGATAGTGTGTTTTTCCAATGCAAATTGTCTTTTGATGTCTGATACTAAGATAGTGGTGAATAAGGATCCATGTAAAAAGGAAATAATTGCTAACTTCACTCTTTTCTCCATATTTTATGATGTTATTGGCCCAGTGGTGTGAAATTTCATTTTCCTGATATTTAAATGTAATCCTTATTGAAAACTGTAGTCTTTGGTCTTCTGTATCAAGCAATTGAAATATTCCTCACTTTCAGCAAACAAGGTTGTGTCTGTGCATAATGCCGGTTGTTGATACTTTTCCTTTGATCCTAGTTCTCCATAATATCAGGCTTCTTCTATAACTTGCTCAGCACACAGATTGAATTGTTATTGTTCTTTCTCTTTGCCATCAAGTAGACTACAATTCATATGGACACTACGAAGAATCATCCTGAGCCCCACTCTGTACTGAGCCAATCTTCTCAGACTTACTAGCACCCATTGCCACAATCACAATGTCAATTTTATCTGTGGTCTCCCACTCTTTCACTGACTCTTGCCTCTTCCAAGCATGATGTCCTTCAAGGACTGGTCCTTCCTGGCAACATGCCAAAGTATATGAGATGGAGCCTCAGAATCCTTGCTTCCAAGAAGCAATTTAGTTTCACCATTCCCCAGGACAGGTCTATTTGGTTTTTTTGTCAGTCTTTGATATGTTTAATACTTTTCTCCAGCATCACAACTCAAAGATACAGATTTTTCTTCTGTCATCGTTTTTCATTGTCCTGCTCACCAAGGCTGCTTCATGCCAATTGATATTTCTTCAATTCTAGGGGGCTTATTTGTGGTCAATGACTTCAATGCAAAATGACCTTCTTCCTTCACAACCATTGCTGCTCGGTCATATTCTACTTCCTGAAACTATTCCATGTCAGCCAGATCAGTGACTGTGTGTATTACTTTCATCTTCTATTGATTAAATACTTTGCCCATAGCACTCTTCACTATTGTAGTAACTTAAGGCTTGAATTTGTTCTTCAGCTCTTCCGATTTGAAAAAACTTATCATATTTTTCCAATGATTTTCTAACTCCACTTTTTTGCACATTTTGTCATACAATTTTTCTGTCTTCTTTGTTACTGTTGTAGTTATATGCTGTTGAGTCACTTGTGACTCACAGTGACCCTATGTTCTACAGCTCTGAATCCTGCCCTATCCTGAACTAGTCCTACTCCAACACACATACCTTCTTTACCTCAGTTACTGCATTCATCCACTTCCTCCGGATCTTCATCTCTTGCACTCTCTCTCTCTCCAAATTCCCAAGCATGATGTCCTCCTCCAAGGAGTAGATACTCCTGGCCATGTGCCCAAGTATGTCAGATGGGCTTCAAAATTCTAGCCTCCAAGGAGAAACTTGCTTTCACCCTCTCTAAGACAGATCTATTTGTTTTCTTGGTAGTCCAAAGTATGTTCAAGACTCTTCTCCAGCACCACAAGTCAAAGACATCAGTGCTTCTTATGTTATCCTTAGTCATTGTCCAAACCTCTGATAGATAGCAAGTAATTGTGAAGACCATAGCCTGGATCAGCTACACCTTAGTTTCTAGACTGACATCATAGCTTCTCAGCTCTGGAGAGGTCCCTGACAGTAGATTTTTCCCAGTGCAACTAGTCTTTTGATTTCCTGACTGCTGGTGCCAAGAATGTTGATTGCGGAGTCAGAGCCGAGCAACCTGTAATTGTTAAAAACCTCTATCTCTTCTGCATCTATCATGGTGCTGCTAGTTGGCTCTCAGGTGCCATTTGAAATCTGTTCGACTCTTATTTTGGCATTTCTTCCTTTTGTTTTGGCTTCTTGTAATTCTTGTGTAATTTTCAGAATCTCTTCCAACATCCATTATTATTAAATTAGAATTCTATAATTCTATTCAATTATTTCTGTTTATACATAATTTTAGAATTTGGAGTAAAAGTAAGACCAGATGCTTATTGTGGAACAAATCATCAATTACTCATGTGCAAGTTCAAATTGAAAGTAAAGAAAATTTAAACTGGTCCACACAAACACAAATATAACCTTGAGTCTATCTAAATTGAATTTAAGAATCATTTCAAGAACACCTTTGAGGCATCCTCTTATGTTATTTACAATCCCTGAAATCTAATGGAAGGCCAGTTATAAGCTAGTTGTGACTACAACAATGAATTTGTTGTTGGTTTATGCTTTTACTATCTAATTTGTATCCCAAAGAAAATTTATATATATATGGAGATATATATGGATAGATAGATAGATAGATAGATATATTTAATATACATTTTTTACTTACACCGGAAAAGAAATATAATTATTTTTTCTTAAATAGGTCCAAAGTGGAACCCCTCTCGGATTGGACTACAACTAGAATGTGGTAAGGAACGACTCATACTTTAATAAATTTATTTATGAAATTTTGGATATATTTTCTATCTAGACACAGTGACTGTAACAATGGGTTTGAGTATGAGAATAGCACAGGATACAGCAAAGTTCTGATGTGATGTTGTTTGTAAGGTCACCGTGAGTCATACTCAACTTGACTAAACATAATAACAGCAAATTCTAGGCAGGATTAGTGGCTAAGTATTGAATGTTATCATTCAAATTTACCACCAACTTTAAGTGTGCATGTGTGAGTTTATATTAACATTATAATATTGGAAAATGTATGATAGAATTCTAATCTCTACCACAGAGTAACTATGAGTTCAGATTTACCTATGAAACATTTCCAAATACCAAATATTGTAAAAAAAAATACTTAAAATGTGTAATGTTATCCTTCAAAATACAAGTTCTTCAACTTTATAGATTCTCAATTTTAGACTCATAGAAAAGACTTTATCATAGGAGTTCTTAGGAAAGATTTAGGAGTATTATCTGAATTAATACTTTTGTTTCCTAATTTTTTTTGCTGAATCTTGCCTACGTTTGTCTTCTTCGTATTAAGTTATTTTTTTATTGTAACTTTAGTGAAAGTTTAGAGGAAGAACTGGTTTTCATTTATTCATTGGTAAAGAATTTCCTTCATCCTTTTCCTTCAATTCATTGTGTAATGCAGGTCTTATTCTAGATTATTTATTATCAGACATTGATGTTGTTCTTGTTGATAAGTGCCATCAAGTCATAGATGACTCATAGCAACCCTATGAATGAAAATTCTGAACATGTATAACTTTCATCCTTTCTCTAAGTTCATAGAGTTTCTGGCAGCAAGCTCTTTCAGAAGTGGATGCCACTCCTGCTTCTTTTTTTTGGGGGGGGGTCATTCATTCATTGTTGCACTGTTTTCTC